AACCCAGGCACTGAATTTGGCCCCGCTTCCTCCAAGTGCCCCCAAATTACCACCGTCTTGCAGGCGTGGCTAGGCTAATAGTTTTTGCCAGCCTCGAGCGTGAAAATTCAACAAACACTCGAGAGGTGATGGGCAAAAGCCGTGCTCTGTGTCACATCGGAGCGGCAACGCTTTGCATCCTCATTTTATTGCTTTCTGCTAAGGCGGCCGGTGTCGTCTTTTAACTTAGAAAGTGAGCTGTGGGCGGAGGAGCCGAGGTGAAACAGAGGCACGGCTGCTCAACGCAATCACTAGAAAACTGCTGATTGTACTCATCTGTAGGAGATAATTTTAGAGCAGAGGCAGGAAGTTAGGAGGATGCTGAAAGCGATGCGCAGTGGGCACCGCTCGCCCTTTTCAGCAGCACACCAAGAGCTTCACTTTCACGCCGCTGGGCTGAAAACAACAATACTGAGGCACGTCTAGTCACCGCAGGCACGCTCTCAGCACAGCTCCGTACCCGCAAATTCAAAGGGCCTCTGTCCCTGGCAAGTCACTTGCCTACGTGGCCAGTTTTTCAGAGGAGCTCGGCACCCCGGGGGCTTGTGCAGGTGCCTGCAGGGAGGCAAAGAGACTGCAGAAAAGCTGGCTCTGCGAGTGAAGGCTGTGCACTTGGAAATCCGGCCCTACGGGTGGTGAAACGCGTCTCAAAGGAAAAGTTGCCCGGCGTACCGACACCATTTTAATAAATACTAGAAGTAGTGAAATGATTTTTTAATAATGCTTTGACAATTAAGAAGCCTGACAGAAACAGAAACCGGAAATACTTCATCATCAACTCTTTGCAAAAGCGTATTTTTCATTCCAGTAAAAGAAACACATCAACTTTCCTTTTTCCATCTTATTAAATATTTCCTAGACAAACTAGCCTGCTTTTGCTTAGTCAAATATCACTACTTGTCTAAATAAAGTTCAAAGAAAAACTTTTCTATGTTCACCATTCTTGATATCAATATTCATTAGATAACAGAAATCATAGAGAGCATTCGCTCCTATCTGTGAAAAATAAGTTCTTGAACACGTTTCCTCTATTTTGATGTACCTACATAAAAGAAATCTGAATAAACAGAGATCTAACCCTTATCATTCAGTGAGTTGTTTAAAGTCTTCTGAGCTGGAGAACTCCTTCAGCTTTCTTAGCAGATGAAAGCACAGGATTTGGAACCACAGCATACATGTCTGGTTGCTTGTGTGCTTCTTCAGCCACTCCAGATTAGTTTACACCTCAAATGCTACCGCTTACACCTAGTGATTTCAGAAGACTATTCCTCCTGTTTGAAATGCATATTTGGGCCAATGGTATAATAAATTCATCGAAGCAAAATGATACACGGTCATAAACAGAAATGAAAACCAAGCGTTTTTCTAGAGGGTAGGGTTCACAAATGCGGGGTCCACCAATGTTTTCCGAAATGTTCTGCTGCACATAACGGAGCCGCAGAGCATGCCTGCACAGAGCTACGGCAGTGGAGGGACTTTAAAAGCTGAATATCCAAGCACCTGCTGACTGTGCTGTGCTCAGACTCCTGACCGCAGCGTCCGGTCCTGCGCCTTCCTCCTCACATTCTGATGGGATGGGGCAATGCAAAATGTATTAGTACTTACCATATGAGCTGCGGGAATTCACCTGTGCCAGAATGGTATGGAAACTACTTATATTTCTGCGCCAGGCATGTCTGGGGAGGAGTCTCAAGAGCCTACAGACTGCAGGCTCCGGGAAAAAACTGATATGCAATTGCTCAGCGATGCGTAATATTGAAGCAATACTAAAAAAAATGACATTACAGTCATTTCTGTACAATATAGGCTAATACAGGATTCGGGGATTGCTCAAATTCAGCAGAACAGTAAATCAAAATTTCAATTAAAAGTGGATTATGAGTACTTAGGTTTATGGTCTGTCCCAAGCCAAAGACTTAAGCAAGCCCATTTTCCAGACCTTGGCTCTCATTTGTGAAGCCTCTACTTTCTGTTTTGTTTTGTTATTTAAACTTTTCATTTACAGAGCAGTAAGATTTTAATTTTTACAGCATTTTTTTTTCTTTCTGAGGCAGGAACTCATCTTCACCAAGTAAGTCCCTGCTCTGCAAAACACTTGAGCTAACACAGAGGAAAAGTACAATCCTGCCATATCTCTGCAGCATGGGAGAAGCCTTACGGCGGCGAAACCGTAACACTCTGCTGGAGAGGGCAGCTTGTGCTGGCTGCATGTCACAGAGCTGTACTCCATGGAGACGCTATAGGACCATCCACAGGAGGTGGGATGAGTGAGGTCACGTGTCCCTGGATCCACTGGCTGTTTTCCCCTAGGGAATGAGGAGAAACAGGAGCTACAGGAAAAAAAACCCCTATTGCTCTGCAGTCGGGGTGGGAACCGCAGAGCAAGCCCATGGCTCTCCCACTGGTTGCACCGTCTGCACGTGCCCACACCCACCCCATGAGCACGGCCAGTGGGATCACACAATATTTAGGCTTTAATCCGTATATGGTATTTTGCTTTGGCACAGTCCAGTTGGGCTGTAAAATATATGTCCAATGTGCGTTATGCAGCTTTTAAAAGATCCCTCATGCAGAAATACCTGCAAAATTATGGTAGGCACTGAAATGTTAGCATTCTGACTAGTCCTAAAGCACAGCAGGAGAAGAAGCTTACAGGATACCATCTGATTTGTGTAAAACCACATCTTACACTCTGACATTTGCTTGTCAAAAACCTACACCTTCTATGTTCAGGAGATTTGTTTAAACAAGAGACAAAGTGCTACCTGGACCAAAATAGTGCTTATCTCCTTTACATTTTTTTACACTGATCACACAGTGCTTGTTGACTCAAATTTTTTTTTCTTCATAAGCTAAACTTTGGTTTTCTGCCATGTCTTGAAACATTAAAAGAATGTTGTGACTGAAATCAAATAAAGTAGAACATCCTAAAATGACTCCTAGAAATATAGCAGCATAAACGACTGATTCAGTCTTTGTGGACGGTTTCTGAATACGTAGTCAAGGTGATCGTATATCTTTGAAAGGCACGATGGAAACAGCCACCAGCAATGTAAGGGCAAAACCTTACAGTTAAAACACAGGCATAATAAAAACATACTATCCTATTAATTCTGATGATTGCAGAAGCACATTCACTCTTACCACTGTTATGAGAGTTTGCAAAGAACGTAAGATGTTTTTCAATTACCTATATGCACATACACATACATATATTAAGAGAATGTGAGTGGAGAACCAAACAGGAATGGGGGGAAGGCATATTTACTATGAATACCTGCTTCCCTTTACCCTACTCTGGTATTACATTTTTTCTTTCAGGTTTCCCTACATTGAAACGAAAAGATTTCACATGAATTTAAATCAGTACAGCAGACTAAACAAGATTCCCAATGTTTTCAACAATTACCATAATTAAAGATGTCTTTGCAGAATAAAGCCTAGGCTGGTTCTCTGTTGCCTGTCACTAGGTAAATATTCCCATCTCTTCACATCAAATGAAACATCAAATGTTTCAACCTCAGAACGGTGGTAGCATAAACCAACTTTGCAGCAGTGAATACTATTCCCATGGTTTAGAATAAAATGGTAAAAGATGGCCTATGTAAAGGCTGGAGAGAAAAGATGCTGCTTAATAAACAGCAGTTAACAACAGGCATGTAATTTGAAATACTTATGAGGGTAACTTGGGTGGCAAGGCAATACCTGTTGGCCTCTACAACAGAGTTTTGTTGCTGAAAAGTGTTGTGCAAGACAATAACAACTCTTTTTCTTTCCAATTAAAGAGATGAACAGTCTTTAAATATACACAGACATACCAACTACGGATGAAGTTTGCATAAGTAGGCTGATTCAGTGAAGCATAGCTACACAGCACATACGCAATAAGCCGTCAGTTGCCCATGTCAGGTTTCCTGTACTTTTACTTTAAATTAAAGTCCTGATAGAAGTCTGGAGTGCATGCAAGCTAACTGGGTGAAATTCCAAATGTGTATTTTATGGGATTTCACCTGCAAAAAGTTGGCAGGTCTCTTCAAGTCATGTGACATGACTCAAGTATTGCTTTGTGGGAATTTCCCTCAGAAGGACTATATTCACTTGGAAAGTCTATGAAAAAGCATTAACCCCATCATTTTTCTAATTCCTCTTCCTTCCAAAACAACAACAAGAAAACAACCACCCTTTTTTCCTACTTTCCCCAAAAAAGTGTTCTCCGAAAAAGAGCCATCTCAAATAATAATAATAAAAAAATATCTAAATTTACCTGCTATTAAAATCTTCAAACAAGCCTGCTTGGAATTCATCTAGCATGAGTGACTTTATTGTCACTTCACAGCCACCAATATAAGCTTCCAAAAAAGCTGGAACACGTGTTTGTGAACATTTCCTATACATGAAGCATTTTTTATGGAGCACTCTGATCTCCGTCCACATTGTGCTTTTCATCGCTACCCAAGAGCAGCATCAGCCTGGAGCGCTATTTTCACCCCGTGCGAGACGGCGAGGTGCAGGATGACTGGAAGGAGAATCCCCACACCACCTCCAGCTCAGAGCCCAGCACGCTTGCAATGCTGTGGTGTGAATTCGGAAGTATTATTCAAATGCAATGTACCCTCTGGGGCCGCAAAATCAGACCGAGGGTTGACAGCAACTTAGCAGAGAGCTCAGAGCGTTCACAATTTGTGGCTACACATGAGTTTGTGCTCCCAAAGGCAGAAAAAAATCCTTGTTCCAACAAGTCTCTGCCACCAGTATAAAAGAAAATAACCTGCAGAGAAAATCTCTTGTGTGGGCAGCAGAAAGGCAGCTCTTATGGTTTGATTCTCACTCTCATTTTATAGCGCCAGGTATACCTCGAAATTAGTCAGGTTACTAAAGAATTATCAGAGCCATGTATCTTTCTAAGTAATCATCATTATCTCTCATTTTTACTAGCAGAGATAAGGAATATATTTTGTTACCATTAGCAGGAAGATAGGTGAAAAGCTGGTACTGGCTTCTCTTTCTCTTTCCGTTGCAGACATAGAAGTTGACCTGAACAGGGCTGGTAATTCTCTGATTGCGGAAAGGTGGTATCTCAACCACCAACGAATTCTGCAAAAGCAACAAATCAGAAAGTCAAGGCATGACAAAGGCAGTCGAGCTGTACAATGGCATTCACATGTTAACCCCGAGGAGGAGGCACTTGGGCTCGCAAGGAGGAACATGTTCTCTGCAGGGGAACTGGTGGGCTTTGTGGGCAGGGATGGCCTGTGGCCACCCCCAGTGTCCATGCCAAGGACTCCAGAAGTAGGGAAATAAGATTTTAGCACGGCTCAGGTCTTTACACAATCGCTAGCCTTCACCTCTTCCCTTTGGACAGCAAATACGATACCACAAGGCTCTATCCCTCCTGCCTCTGACAAGAATCTTGGGACCACAATCAAATCGTAGTCTCTAACTCAGCAGGAGAAAGCACAACCGCTTGGCTGGCAGGTCATCCCCAGTATATCTCACCCTAACACAACTTCCTTTGAAAGGAGAATTAGGACAGGCATATGATTATTCAAATACTTCAGTTTTCCAGAGTCAAATGTTTTTCACTCAGGAGGGTTTAAGCATGCTAATTTCTGTGGATGGGAGATGCTGCAAGAACATCTAGTGCTACAGGAAGAAGGGCCGGAGAGCATGTAGATGATCTTCCACTGTCAGAAACCAAATGCTCCAGCACGGGGCTAAGGAACGACTTAGCTGCTAGGGCATCAGCTTACACAAACGCACAGTGAAATCTGCTATGACCATCAAAACCTCCCTTGGCACTTTTTGAAAGAATAAAAGGGAATGCTCGTCTTAGCATTTGGCCTGCTTTCAGCTGAGGTCTTTAAATTGTTTGCCTGCATGTCTCCAGCAGGTTTGCAGCTAACAAACTGTTGCATATTCCTGCAGAGGTGGAATAGTGGCCATATTTGCCGCTTATAGTCATGGCTGAGGGAGCCACGCTTCTCCGACCCTGGGGCTGATCTCCTGTGAGGGGACTCACATTTCTTCTGCTGAAGGTAGACGAAAGCCAAGGAAAATGATCAGAAATTGCTTTGGGAGCAGAGGGAAGAACTGACCCGGCAAGACAGAAGATGAGCAGACGGGGCTGGCCTGTCCTGGACAATGAAAAAATATTTTCCAAATGGCCTCTCCTACTTTCGGGATAGCTTCCAACAAAGGCTTTTTACCCCATGCTCCCATTAAAGGAAGATTTCCAGGAGGGGAGGCCTAAGTACTTGTTCTGTTGCAGTGGGGAGACACGGTGCCAAAGTCTTGGAAATCCCTCTTTAGTAACAGTGCTGGAGAAGGCAATATATATTTTTCATCTTGATGTTAAAATATTTAAGGCAGACTTACTGGCTTGCACATTTCTTTGTCGGTTTTGGCTTCCATTTCCCACACATGGTGACCATCTAAAAGACAAAAGAAAAAGACATCTAGTTCCGTCCTTTTTTCCTCTCCCAAGCCTACAAAAGAATGACTTTTGCAAAAAAATCTCTTTGAAGGGGCACTGCATATATGAAAACCAGCTCTCAAAACGCATTGCCCAAGCGTTGCCCAACCAGGAGGCCACGCGGGTAACCCATGGCAGGGGTCCACTTAGCTTTTTTGAAGGGGGAACCACAATCCAGAGCGCATGATACTGCGATGGGGGAAAGCCACCGGGAGTTTATTCCGCCACTAGCTTGGACAAAATATGCAACTGTTCTACACCTTAGCTTACCAAACTTTCAGACAAAAATACTGCTACCTGTGAGGCCTTTTGATCACTACGTATGCAGTAAGTCATATTCAACATTAATATTAAATAAAACAAACCAAGCAGTATTAAGGAAGCTCCTCAGCCATGTAGTATTTCATTTTAGTATTCTCCTAGTCTGGCTTGTCATAATTCTGCTGCTTGGATCAAAAGGCAAGGCCATAGGCTGGGAAACACAGCTTTTGACTCCATTTTAAAGTTGGTTTAGCTCAGCTACAGTGGTCCTACCTACAGTTTTCTGGAGCTGCTTCTAGTGGTGTGTTGGGTCCTCCTAGTTTACTGTATTTCTGTTTTCAAGCAAACATAGATTTAAGCCACTGCTATCACTTTTTCTGGGGACCTGTCTTTTGGAAGAAATTGGTTTTGTCAGGTCATTTTTCCTGCGCCTCACTGATACAGAAGTCACTGGTCAATAACAGGGTTTTTTTTTTCTTCCTTGTGGCTTCAAAACTCAACAGCAAAGATATTAGAAAAATAATACAAAACGTAAGGCTTCCATTCTGCAGGCCTAGAAAAACACAAATGTGTACGGAAGGCCACAAGCAGACTGCCGTCTAAGTTGGGCAGCGGGGACACATGCAGCTTCATGAGTCCCACCATTGTCAGATGTCACTGGAAGGAAAGGGAAAATGAGACTTTATGTCATCTCTTTTGTATATTTATTGCAGCATCGGGACATGCAAATGCAAATATTAGTTATTTTGAACTTCATCACATAGACGTGGGCCTGCCTTAGAAAAACAGCTCTCGGCAAGGTAAAAGAGTGAATGCACTTTTTCTTCTCTCTTCGCTTTCATGGCCAGGATGGAGGTGACGCATTTAGAACGGCCTGATTTATTACAAATGTCTGTAAATAATATTTTTGTGTACAGCTGTCCTACTGTGAAAGGAATGCTGCTGAGGGACTAGCCCCGGCGATTGTTTTAACGTCCAAAACCCCTTTCTTTTTAACGTATGGGAAGAAGTGCAACGTGAAAGCTGCAGCATAAATAGCAGAGTGGATTTGGCAGGTCTTTCTGTAGGAAACAATTAGCAGATCTACCCTTAGTTTCTTCCTACATTTTAAATTGTGATGCTGGAAAAGGAATCCCTTTAATTGGTACTGCCACGTTTGGCTGGGGGGAGAGAAGGAGCAGCCAGACCGTGCTCGAGTCTCCTTAACGATGCCTTTTGAGAGCGCCAGAATTGAAGCAGACTTCTCGGGAGGACTGGCGATCACTTCACAATTTATCCAACAGATGCTTCCCCCGAGCTGTCAGTAGAAAAAACCTGACCAAATTCAGCAAGCCAGGACACATCCCTCATCTGGGAGCAGCCTCCTTTATCTCCCACCCCCTCCCCATAGAGCCCCCGCAGCCTTTCGTGTCCCCCCCAATTAACTCAATCAGTTGTTAAAGTAACACAACACTGACACTATCACACGTTTTGCAAAGTCTAGGAACTTCTGCTTTGTAAGGGGTTTGTTGGCATTTTGTTGGGTTTTTTTTTAAATCTACAGACATCCAGACTAGTAGTTAACATGTGTTCAATTTGCCTTTGTAAATGGATTACCAGAAGTTCAGGTTTTTTGCTATGTTTAATTTCTGCTTTGCAAGACGAATTATCTGATTCAGGTTTCTGTTTTTTATTTCCTGCCGATACTTCAGTAAAATTCAAAACGACTTCATCTCTAGCTAATCTTTCAATTACTTCATGCGGCACTGCCTTTATGCGCTTTTGAAATTTTTATGATGACAAAGAGAGTTTGTTCAGAAATATTTTAAATGCTGTAATCTAAACTATTAGGAAAATAAAAATCCAGAGCCGTGGCTCGTCTTTGGAAGCTAATAAGAACAATACGGGTTTCGCTCCAAGAAATTCCCTTGAGACTGTCCAGACCATTGCTGCTCAGCGACTGAGGGGAAAGGGAAGAGAGGGAAAAAGTAGGGAATAGACAACTCATTAACAGCTAGTGACATTTCGTTTAACAAAAACACAGGGAGGAAAAGTTGTTATGAAGCAAGAGACTGAAAAAAAAAAAAAAAAAAAAGACAATTCCTCATATTACGTCTGGTGAACCAAGAGGGAAATCTCAACGCCCACGGACTGGGACCAGCTCCAGGAGGGAAACCTTAGACCACTACGTCAACCTCTTACAGTAAACATGTTTTGCAGGTTTATACAGTTCAGCTGAAATTAAAAAAAAGAGAGAGAGAGAGAAAGGAATAATGTCTGCAGAACAGTTTGTGGGAGCCCGAAGCATCAAGACAATCTGCCTACGCCGGAGAAAACGGTTTTGCCGCCAGTGCCCGTACGCCGGGGACCTTGGCGAGCAGGCGGGATGCCGCCTCCCGTCAGCGTGTGCTGGAGGAGCGAGGGCTGCTCGACCACAAAAGTTTCCATTGTACGCCTGCCACATCTGCAGCAGCCCGCCTGGTTCGGGGCCCGAGGCAACTCCCTCCTGGCCGCCGGCCAACCAAAGTACACCAGAGCAATTTATACCTTTCCAAAATGCAAATAATTCAAATTACAGACATAACACAAAGCTGAAGCAGACACATTTCAGGCATTCCCGTTAAAGTTTACTCTCTGGAATTACCGTACCCAAATGGGCAGTTGTTATACGGGGACGGGGGGAGACGGAGGCAGCAGAGGAAGGAGAGGAGGAGGCAGGGAGGAAAAGGGAGAAAAAGGCTTTTCCAAAGGTCTTATTTCATTCCCTTTCATTTCGCTATTTACTTTTACCAAGTAATAAGAAGTGTCTTCTCCGAACCAAATGCCTGGCTTTGTTTTGGCGTTTTTAAGATGTATAGCGCAATATTTCGAACAGAAAGACATCTCTTTATATAGCTAAAAAGTTGTGTCAAGGTATTATATTGGGTTTGTTTTATTTTGCGTTTGGTTGTTTTTTTTTTTTAACAAAAGGGAAATAAAAACAAAACATCCGCGCACGGAACCGCAGGCAAAAGCCCTGCGGAGTCCCTGGCGGAGCGCCCTGTTCCCCTGGTGCCAGCAGCAGCAGTTGACCCGTCAAAGCCAAGGCTTCACCTGGGGACCCGTGCCAAGGGCTGGAAGAAGGACCCTCGAATCCCTCCTCCTCCTCCTCCTCCGAAGAGGCAACGCCGGAGCCCGGCAGTGCCGGGGGAGCGAGAAACCCCCCGTTTGGCACAGGCTCCCCGGGCTCGGCGCTTGCACTGACAGGTGGCCATCAGCGCCGTCGCCAGCTGAAGACACCGGGTTTTGTCAGGAAGCCTGACATTTACAGACCGGTCGCTGTTATTTATAACCAACCCTGCTTCGGGTGGACTTCGCCACCAGCCACTTCAGCCTTTTTTTTGTTTGTTTGTTTGTTTTTTGTTTTTTTTTTTAGTTTCGGCGCTGTGACACTCGGAGCACCTGGGATTGCTAATGATGAAAATACTGCGAACCTACCAGGGTGATGCGGGGTGGATTTTCAGCTTTGCAAAGCATAAACACCCCGTTTTAACAGGCGGCGGCTGAAGGGTGAATGGGCCTTTGTAGTCTGCTCTTATCAGCCGCTCGCTGCAGCGTTAAAGGAAACTGCGCACAAGTCCAGAAGTAAAAATACTCTAATTCATCAGGGAATTCCCTGCAGTATGAGTCACTGAACGGCTTCCCCACCACACCCAGCTACAAGATTTCCACATAAAAAGGCACTGTAGAGGCCTGTTTTAACACAGAAGCAGCGCTAAAAAGTAGCTGTGTAAATCTAGCAGCATTACTTATTCACACATAAAGCCGAGCAGACCACGACATATGGATTTTCTTCGTGGAAGAGTAACACAAAGAGCTGTGAAGACTTTCCAAAGAAATTTTTCTACCGTCTTCCCCACCTTGCTGCCCGTCAGGACAGATCCCCCAGGGTTTCCAGGGCTGGGTTTACCTTCGTACCCCAGGGAACTGTGAGTGTAGTGCCAGGGGTCTGCAAGCTCACAACAGTCAAACCACCAGCGCAACCTTCATTACAGACCGATGGATGGCAGAAAGGGGAAAGAATATACAGTACCAAAAAAACCCCAAGCCTGGAAACTCAGGAGGGTATAACATCTGGCAACCACTTAAACCTTGCCTCTATGAAACGGGCATAATGGGAGCGTTCAGATATATTTAAGTGATTTCACTTTACTACAGGAGGTTAAAACAGTCTATATTCTTTAGTAGTCCTGGGTTCACTTGAGATACGAGAAGAATAGATGTTATCTAGGATTTCACTGCCTGTACACGGTGTACATTTTACACTCTTCCAGCCTGCGGCTCAACAGAGTTTGACTGCACTGGCTGGGCTGTAAATCTCTATTTACATTCATATATTGCGAGTAAGATGGTGAGACTAGCTCTACCCTCTCAAAGGAATCCACTACTTGATTAATGTATTGTGGGATTACCCTAAACAATAATGCCTATATTACATCCCAGATTACTTTAACATGTCGACAACAGGCAGTGCACAGATGCAATGCAGAATGATTATACAGCGTAATTTTGAAGTGCTCTGCAAAGGTTGTCTACCTTCCTATTCGGCCCTGTTTATGCATATTCAAATCCCTTAGGAGTGAAGGATTTGCAAGTTTTCAATTTGCACCCCAACCCCTTTTCCTTGGGAAGTACACTCACGGTGCTGAGAAGACTGATCTGTGAACACGTCAGGAACGA